TCATCTCATTAATCTTCATTACATCATAATATAGGTGTAATCTTTGTTTTACAAATGAAAAAAACAGAAGCTCTGTATGTGAAGTTAATTGACCATGATTGTACAGATAGTAAGTAGTGGAGCCAGCATTTGAACAAAGGGCTCCTTTGAACAAAGGGCTCCCTCAGCAGAAGAGAGAGGAAGAACATATTTCATATGTTGTCTAAGTTAATTTAATTTAGTCCTCATAAGAACTATGTAAGATTGATATTACTATCCTCATTTTTCAAATGAGGGGTCTGAGGCTCAGAAAGATCAAGCAAGTTGTACAAGATCACACAGCTGTGACCATGAACGCTCCACTCTCCCATAGCAATTTATAAGCATTGGGAGCAACAGAATCATAGATTCTTAAAGCTGGAAGGGGCCTAGTATAACCTTCTTATTTTATAGGAACCGAAACCCATTCATATGAAAGTGGGCTGATGAGAATGGGGAGAGAGGAATGCCATCTATTGCTTTAATTCAGTCATTCTCTACACACCTGAATTGAGGATCCAGTAATAAAAAGATGTGCCTGTCTGCCAAGAGCTCCTTGGATTAGCAAGTTAAACAGTGCTTTGTCATAGGAGTCAAAACAGAGATACAGATGCATCTCATCCAACCTGGGAACCCATGGAAGTCTTCTTGAATGGAGTGATGCCTTCAATGAGTCTAAAGAGGATTAGGAATTACCCAGGCAGAGATGGGGCCACACACATTCCAGGAAATAGGAAACCATGCACAGAAGCCCAAGTAAGAGAAAATAGGGATGAGATCAGAATGAGGATGGCAAATAGGCAGAGGCCACATCACGGGGGTGGGGTGTTGGGTGGGCTATGGTAAAACATGTGGACTTAATTCTGAGGATACTGGGAAGCTACTGGAGGATTTAGACAAGAGAGTGGCAGTTAGATTTGCAGTTTAGAAAGACCGCTTTGGATAAGATGGCTGTTGCAGTAATCCAGGAAACCAATAATTATTTTCTGGACTAAGTGGTAGCAGAGTGGATGAAGAGACATGGGTGGATTTGAATCATTTTAAGGGGATTGATTGGTCAAAACATGGTGATTGATTAAATGTGGAGGTAAAGGAGAATGTGAGGCAAAGGATAACACTCAGATTACTGGTTTAAGCAACTACCAGTATGAATGAAATAGGGATTGGAAGGAGCAATCCTGGGCAGGACATGAGCTGTGCTTTGGGATGTCGACTTTGCAGTGCCTGTGGAGCAGCCAAATAGGGATGTCTTTTAGGCAGTTCTGAAGCTGGGCAGAAAAAGACCAGAAATGAAAGTTTGAGCCATGTTGGCACTGGGGTGTATTTGAAGTCATGGGCCTAGATTCGATCATCCAAAGCAGGGAGCATGTAAAGTTGGAAGAAAAGAGATGGAGGCTAGAGAACTCTGGGAAATACCAACATTTAAAGGAAAGAATGAGGAAAAGCAATGGAGTAGAAGCAGAGGGAGAGAGACAGACTGGCAGAAGAGAAGAAGCCATGAGAGAGAAGCATCACTGAAGCAAAGGATTCTTTGGACATGTATATACCAATGCTATGTTAAAACCATTGTGCGTTAATATCACAAAAGCAAATACAGCGATTCCCTGGCATTGTGAAACTGGCATTTCTCTGCTGCATAAGAAAATGAAGCAACTTCATTTCACAAGGCAATGAAGGGGGTTATCAGAGCCCTGTTGTGTGTGTGTGTGTGTGTGTGAGTACACATACATATACATATATAACAATTTTAACTGTAGAAAAATGTTTTTCTTTTCTTCTACATTTAGATTTCCCAGAATTTGAAAGGTCTTTCCCCTCAAACTATTTCTTCCCCCATAAATATATATTGAATATCAAATGATTATAAACATACTTCTGGAAAAATAATGTTGCAAGAAGCTCTGAAAAACTGAAAAAAATAGCTGATATAAAAGTTTGGGGAACTACCATTTGACCCAGAAATCCACTTCTACCCAAAGGAAAAGAAATTGTTCTACCAAAGAGACACTGCCACTCATATATTTATCACAGCACCACTCACAACAGCAAAGTAATGGAGTCAACCTAGGTGCCCATCAGTGATGTATTGGATAAAGAAAATGTGGTACATATACATCATGGAATACTACACAGCCATAAAAATAATGAAATCATTTCCTTTGCAACAACATGGATGCAGCTGGAGGTCATTATCCTAAGTGAATTAATGCAGAAACAGAAAATCAAATACTGCAATACTTGTCTCACTTATAAGTGGGAGCTAAACAATGAATACCCATGGACATAAAGATGAAAACAGCAGAAACTGCGAACTCCAAAAAGAGGCAGGAGGGGAGGCGGGAAGGGCTGAAAAAACTTGCCATTGGATACTGTGTTCACTATTTGGATGATGGGTTCAATAGAAGCCCAAACCTCAGCATTATGCAATGTATCCATGTCACAAACTTGCACATGTACCCACTGAATCTAAAAAAAAAGCTTGGAGCAACACTCACCTCTGCTTATCATCATAATACATCACAAACTTGTTAAAATTTAACATATTTATATAGTACTTAGAACTTTTCAGGATATTTTCGTTATCTCATTAGCCCCTAATGTCATTGTAATGAGGTAGATGACTCTGGCATCCATGGGTTATTACACTGTGCTAGGAGAAAGTAATAAGCAGCATAAGAGTGGTGTGGGGACCAAGGGCCCTTTGAAGTTTCATTGAAAAATCAACTCTCAAAAGGCAGATTAATAAGAGAAAAGGCATATAAATTTATTTAGGGTGTACACATGGGAGCATTCAGAAATGAAGACCCAAAGACACAGGAGAAATTGACCTATTTTATGCTTAGGTTTAACAAAGTATGGACAGCCATGTAGAAATATGAGTGGCCAAAAGGATATGATCTAATGCTAACAAACTGAGCGAGGAAACACAGCCAGGTCTGTCTGCCTAGATTCTCCTTCGCCTGTCTGAGCAGCATTCCTTCCTTCTGGGGGTGGGACAGGACTTTCTCTGGAATGGGGGTCTTATGATCTACAAACAAGGTATATCAGATAATTTCTTTGTGGCCACTTTTCACAGAAATAGGGCAGAAGAAAAATTGGAGTAATATTTTTAGGTTTTATGTCTGGCTTTGGGGAAAAAGGCATTTTGGTTTCTATGACCCGCCTCGGGGAGGAGGGATTCTAGTTTCTGAGCCTAGCCTCAGTGGGGCATGGGACTGAGAGACAGAAGGACAGGAGAAGGTCAGAGAACAAACCTACACCTCTGAGGCTGTTTCTGAGGCCTTCATTTTGAGGCATTGTTTTCTGAGCCCCAACAGAGGAACACAGAAAGAGCTACAGAAATTCAGAAAAGGAATGTGTTGCTTGTACAGGAGGAGGTGGGGACCAGAGAAGGCTGAACTTTGAAGTGCAGAAAGCACTGAGAGCTTGCAGTGTCCCTATCACTGTTGTGGGCACTTTATGTTATCTCATTTGAAGGACTTGGGTATTTTAAGTGGTGAAAATAGGCATTTTATACAGAGGCAGATGGATACTCCATAATGAATACAATGTCTGGCACAAGGGCACAATAACTGTTAATATTAATGGCTATCACAGTTGAGTACTTACTGTGTCCTAGAAGCAATGCTCAGATTCTTTGTATATGCAGTCACATTTCAGCCTCAAAACTCTGAGAACAAGGTATTATAACTTCCACTTTACACACCAATTCAAGACAATGTGTGTGCACACATATACACATATATGTACATGACAAGTGAGTTATAAGTGAGGGCCCTGGTAAAAAAACAAATGGCATACTTAAACAATTCTGAAGAGCATGTTTAATAAAAGGAATGTTTTTAGAGGTGTGGGCAGGTAAAGAGAACCAACGAGGAACACTGAGGCACCCAGGGACTAGCAAACACGAGAAGCCAATACCACCCCTAGATGGAATAACGGAAGGCAACAGCATTACCAGAACCCAGCTGAGAGCTGGAACCATGGAAGAGGGGCCACCAGCAGAAGCTATGATTGTAGAAGGATGGAGCTGTTGCTACAACCATGAAAAAGCAGGAAGGGAGCCAGAGAAATAAATACCCCAATCTCTCTCTGCTCTTGTCCTCCAGTCTCCTGTAAGTATATCCCATTCACCAAAACCAACAAAAATTGGATGCCAGGTGATGAAGTCCATGAAGATCAGTCCTCTACAGCTTCAAGCAAGACAGAAAATGGTGAAACACAGGTCTTGGGTACACGAAGGTGGTACAGCCAGAATGTAGGAGGGCCAGGAATCAAATTCAGGCTTGTCTGACTCAAAACCCATGCCTTATCCACTGCTTTTATGTATTCCTCTACCATACATACTGTAGATGCTTAGTAAATGTTTCTTTAATGAACAAAACCCCAGATGAAAGTAGGAGAAACTGAGATTAGGAGGCTATGTGTCTTGATTTTAGGAACCAGAGTCCTGGTTACCGTGGAACCCTCTCGGGGTCTGTAACTCACTGCCTGCCCATTCAACCAAACACCACTCACTCCTTGGATATAAAAGGTAATCTGCAGCAATGGGCTTCTTTCACAGTAAATATTTATGTAATACTTATGTTAAAACACTCAGGACTTAGTGTCAAATTGCAGATTTATGGTACTTACTTGGTCCAATATTTCTAGCACTTAGGATGGACAAGGACACCCTTGAGCCCTCCTTCTCTTTGAGAATTCCCACCCTGATATGGTTTGGCTGTGTCCCCACCCAAATCTCATCTTGAATTGTAGCTCCCATAATTCTCACATGTTGTGGGAGGGACCCAGTGGGAGATAATTGAATCATGTGGGGCAGTTTCCCTCATGTTTTCTCGTGGTACTGAATAAGTCTTACAAGGTGTGAGGGTTTTCTAAGGGGAAACCCCTTTCACTTGATTCTCATTTTCTCTCTTGCCTTGTGGCCATGTAAGACATGCCTTTTGCCTTCCACCATGATTGTAAGGCCTCCCCAGTCACATGGAACTGTGAGTCCATTAAATCTCTTTTTCTTTATAAATTACCCAGTCTCGGGTACGTCTCTATCAGCAGTGTGAAAACAGACTAATACACACCCCCACCTCAAAGCACCTGTCTCCTATGAAAGTAAATCTTGTATCTACTAAAATGGAGTAAGAAAAGAGTAAGACAGGAATGCCTGTTTTAATCTTCAGATACTTGCTATCTAAAATTGACTTCAAATAAGGCAAGATACCAGCAATATTATCAATGGAAAAGAAAACTTACCCCTGTGTTAATCAACATCCAACCAGAACAGAAATAGCTTTAGGTATGTCAAACAGGGAATTTAAAGGAAATTGCTTATAAAGCTCTTGAAATGTCCAGAAGCGCAAAAGGAACAATTTGACCATAAGCCCTACATTATCATTCATAATTACATCCCCAGTGCCTAGCACAATACCTGGCAAGGGTTCAATAAATATTTATTTATTGAATCTATGATTACACTTGTGGGTGAGATTTTGTCTGTCAACCTAGGAAGGCCACTAGTTCTATTGGAAAGCATACCTTCAAGCAGCTATATGACTCTGATAATTCAGTGAATGTGCATGTGTGGTTTGGCCTTCAGTAGGAAATCATGTGCAAAGCCTTCTGTTCAAAACCTCTCAATGGATAATATTTACTGAGCATGTATTAGGCTCTAGTTACTATTCTATGCACTTTTTAAGCATTTTGCAATATTAACATTTATAATAACTCTATGATAATGTGTTCATTACTCCTCATTTATAGATGACGATGAAACTGAGGAAAAGAGTAACATGCCTAAGATCATAAAACAAGGAAATAGTAGAGCCAAGCTTTCACTACACAGTCTGGCTCTAGAAGCTATGCTCTTAATTTCCACAACATATGCCTCTCCACAGCTCATTTGATGAAGGCTTAGCCCACTTTCCCACTTTTGTTTTCTATTTTCCCCACAGTTCTCTGGGGACAGACACCAGTCAGCTGTTTCCCCAGGCTTGTGTTTTCTTTTCTTTCTAGGCCCACAGCAGACTGTATTTTCCAGTCCTCCCTCCAGGTTATTGTACCAGGGTGGCAGAATTTTAGACAGAAGAATGGGAGCAGAGGTGATATGCATCCCTTCTAGGCCTGACCCATTAAGCCTTTCACATGTGGTGGCTGTATATTCTTTCTTGTTCTTCCAGTTTGAGGAAGGTGAGTGAGATAGGGTGGCTGTGTCCCCACCTAAATCTCATCTTGAACTGTAGCTCCCATAATTCCCATGTATTGTAGGAGGGACCAGGTGAGAGGTAATTGAATCATCGTAGTGAATCTTTCCTGTACTGTTCTCGTGGTAGTGAATAAGTCTCATGAGATCTGATGGTTTATTAAAGGAGAGTTCCCCTACACAAGCTGTCTTGCCTGCTGCCATGTAAGACATCTCTTTGCTCTTCCTTCATCTTCTGCCATAATTGTGAGGGCTCCCCAGCTATGTGGAATTCTAAATCTATTAAACCTCTTTCCTTTATAAATTACCCAGGCTTGGATATGTCTTTATTCACAGCAGGAGAACTGACTAATACAGTGAGCATGGAAAACTTGGATGCCACATGTAGAAGAGTTGGAGCCACAAAATAGAAGAAAGCTGGATCCCTGAATATTGCTTGGAAAAAAGAGTTGAGAACCAATCAGGAACATCTGTGTTAGACTTTAAGTGAACAAGAGATAAGCTTCTATCAACTTTGTGCCATTATATGTGTTGGAGTTGTTTTGTTACAGCTCCTATAGATATGTAAATTGATCTACCTACTGTCCTTTGAAAATGCCTTTCCCTTAGAATTCTCATTCTCTCCTTCAGTTACTCACATCCAAAAATTATTCAAGGCCTAAACCAAGTCCAATCACCTTCAAGCGGCTTTCTTCCACTCCCACCCACCATAGAGATCTCTCTTTCCCTCACCTTCCTGTAGCACTTTGTTATGTATACCTCTCATGTGCACTTACCCCAGCTCAAATTCTGGATGTCTTGATTCCCTATGAGATTGTGAGCTCTTCAAGGTAAGGATCATGGCTTTGTGCTTCCTTCTTTTGTGACTCTGAAGTGCATAACATGGTGATGTGCCTTGGGAATTTTCAATAAATATTCATGGGAAAAATGAACATATCAATGTATTAAGCTCAATGAAGTCCATTTTCCTAAAAACAGTCCTTCATTGCTGAAGCGTGAAAGCATGTAAACTATAATCTACTGATTTGGTAATTTTATTATTCTTTTTTACTAATATATACATTCTAACACTTTTCGACAACTGCTTAGAGAAGACAGAAGGCATGCTTATCAAATTTCAGATGGCACAAATTAGAAGTAATAAGTAATGCACGAGATAACAGAATCAAAACTAGACAAGTTAGAAAGAAGTAAATAACATTTAACAGGGATAACTACAAAATTAGATTTTAAAAGAACAGTTACCCAATTTCAGTACTGAAAGACATGGCTAACATCAGGTTTTAATTGGCTGCTAGATTGACATGAGCCCAGAGTGGTACACAGAGCCCTGTTCATAGTTAGACTCAGGGCACTGAGTGGTAAGTGAAGTTTTCAGGTCCAACAAGGCACAGGCATGAATGAAGATTGCTAGATGGTGGCCAGTTAGAGACATATGGAGCCTCAATGTCTGGTAAAGTCTGCAGTAAAGGGCAGAATGAAGTCCTATACTTTATTTAACCCGGGAGCTAAATAAATAAACAATATATAATAAGAGTAAATAGGCTGGGCGCAGTGGCTCACGCCTGTAATCCCAGCACTTTGGGAGGCCAAGGCAGGCGGATCACCTGAGTTCAGGATTTTGAGACTAACCTGACCAACATGGAGAAACTCTGTCTCTACTAAAAATACAAAATTAGGCAGGTGTAGTTGCACATGCCTGTAATCCCAGCTACTCGAGAGGCTGAGGCAGGAGGATTGCTTGAACCTGGGAGACAGAGGTTGCAGTGAGCTGAGATCACGCCATTGCACTCCAGCCTGGGAAACAAAAGCGAAACTCCATCTCAAAATAAATAAATAAATAAAGAATAAATAGTGAACTAATTTAAAAAAAATAAATTTTATATTTAACCTGGGTAAACTTAAGATCAACTTTCACCTGTAACTTTGATGGGAATCCTCCATCTGAGGACACCATTAAGTGATTTCTGACGCCAAACTGGGTCTAATGGGGCTGCCTGAATCCCCCAAGAATTTTGCTTTAGAAGTACTACCTAGTAGGTCTTAAAGGTTTATTTTACTTTTGGTCCCACTTCCCAACATCAGTGTCAGAGCTGTCCTTAAGACTCCTCAAATTTGGGCAGGGCGTGGTAGCTCATGCCTGTAATCCCAGCACTTTGGGAGGCCAAGGCGGGTGGATCACCTGAGGTCAGGAGTTCGAGACCAGCCTCGCCAACATGGTGAAACGCTGTCTCTGCTAAAAATACAAATTAGCCGGGAGTAGTGGCGCGCACCTGTAGTCCCAGCTACTCAGGAGGCTGAGGCACGAGAATTGCTTGAACTGGAGAGGCGGAGGTTGAAGTGAGCCGAGATCATGCCACTGTACTCCAGCCTGGGCAACAAGAGTGAAATTCCGTCAAAACAAAACAACAAAAAACAAACAGACAAAAAAACTAAAATGTGAAGCTGAGAATTTTGAAGCTCATTTATAAATTCACACCACCCCTGTGGGAGGGGAGAGAAGGCACAGGGGAGAGAAGGCAGATCACATCTCCGGGCTCAACTGGGGCAACCATTCTAGGATGCTCAGACAGACCTGCTCCTAGAAATCCAGTTTCCTAAAAGCTGGGATCAGAGTTCTGGCAAGAAGGCTGGAGCCTGGGCCTTGGCCCTAGACCACCAGAAAAGAGAATACAGGCTTAGGCAGTGTTCATAGAGGCCCAGCATCTGGAACAAGGGTGCTGCTGTAGTCTGTGCTGGTCAGACCACACAGGAAGAATTGTTTCTTTTCCGGATGCTATGATTTTAAAAGGATACAAGCAAATTGGTGTGTATCAAAAGGAAACTGACCAGAATGTTGAAAGGACTTGGAAACCAAATCACTAGTTACTTTTCAGTGGTTTGGGCTCCAGGACTGGAGGGGGTTAGGGTTGGGGGTAGAGGATGGTGTTAGGCAGCATAGATAATTAGAACTGTTTTCAGATATGCAAATGCTGTTTTGTGAAAACACACACACACGCAAACACACAAAAAACAAAAAACTTGTACTTTAGGTAAGGCCAGAAAACAGAACTGGGACCCGTGCTATTTAAGCTTAAAATGAAGAATCTGTAAGCCATTATAGCTCTTCAAAAGTGGACTAGACTTTGTAAGTACGCAAGGTTTAAACTGTTTAGGCAAAAACCAAGAAGCCCTCCAGCCGCTCTGTCCAGACCGAGGCTGGCTCTCCAATTCCGCGCTGGGGACGATGGGAGGTGTGCACCTGCGACAGAACACAGGTACCGCCAGGTCTGAGTAGGGGTGGCTTTTCGCGGAGGTCCCCCGCCTGAACATACTTCTTGCCCTTGCTGCTTCCCCGGCCGCCTCTCCTGGCCCCACTCCTCGCGCGGCGCTCGCCGCCACAACTCCTGCCTAGGCTGGCGCTAGACCCGCCAGCGCCGGAGTGGGCGCGCGGGTTGCGCGCGGGCCGGCGCCCGGAGCTCTGGGCATGCTCAGTCGCGCGGGCAGGGCTCCGGGCGCGAGCTGGGCTCCTTCTGCACCACATTCAGCGGCTGCCAAGAAGAGCCGCCGGGCGCTCGCAGGCTTGGAGCGCACTGCCCGCGGCAGGACCCGGCCGCCTCCGCCGCCGCCGCCGCCCCTAAGCCTCCCGAAGCCATGGCCGGGCTCGGCCACCCCGCCGCCTTCGGCCGAGCCACCCACGCCGTGGTGCGGGCGCTGCCGGAGTCGCTCGGCCAGCACGCGCTGAGAAGCGCCAAGGGCGAGGAGGTGGACGTCGCCCGCGCGGAACGGCAGCACCAGCTCTACGTGGGCGTGCTGGGCAGCAAGCTGGGGCTGCAGGTGGTGGAGCTGCCGGCCGACGAGAGCCTTCCGGACTGCGTGTTCGTGGAGGACGTGGCCGTGGTGTGCGAGGAGACGGCCCTCATCACCCGACCCGGGGCGCCGAGCCGGAGGAAGGAGGTAACTGCCCGCCCGGCGACTCGAGGGGCGCGGCCGGGGCGCGCGCCGGGCCCTCCCCTCCCGTCGGCAGCCGCGTTGCCTGGGGAGTAGCGCCATTGGCACCTGGGCTAGTTCACAACTTCCCGTCGTGGGGCGAGTGTGTGTGTGTGTGTGTGTGTGTATGTGTGTGTGTCAGAGTCAGAAGTTCATTGTTCACACCTCCAGGCTGCCGGCAGCCTTCTGGAGGATCCGATTCAGTGTGGTTGTACGGTCTCGGGCAGGTGGGTGGGCGGGGGAGTCCGTCTCACGAGCATTTTTATTTCTGAAAATTAAACGGCAGCGACGACAGTGCAACTTTGAGTGTTTCATAGGGAGCAGGGGACACGAGGGGTGCCGCTCTGGGAGGGCAGCTGGAGGCTGGGCGTCCCTCCAGGGGGCAGCGCCAGTCGTGACACCGAAGCCCCCAAGTCCTGCCTGGAGCTTGGAGCAGGACAAGCTGTATTAATTAACGGGGTGTCGGTGCCCACAGACCTGGGGTTTCTCAAGTTCGTTTTCAGTGGTGGCGAGTGAGTCCCAAAGAACGGGACTAGTAAGTGAATGAATAGAAGGAAAGTGTATTGGTGAGCTGTGCTAAATGTGTGCATGAATGGACTAGGTTTGAAAAGCTCTACTCTGTGCGGTGTTGGGTGTGTGTTTAATTAAGAGATGGTTGTTTCACAAATTCCGTAATTTTTATCGTCTATATTTTTAAACTCACAGCAATTAAGAGAGCTTTTCTGTTCTCAAGGTTTGTAACTACTTTGAAATACTGCAGCTTGTGAAATGGCTGATTGCTTTAAGTGCAATGTAGGTTAGTGGGGAGAGACAAATAGAGTGAGATTGGATTTTAAAATGCCATCTGGCCTGGGATTCTTCTCATTGCCAGTTAAGAGCCCAGGCTCAAGACTCCGTTGCTGTTGGCATCCAGTGGCGTTGCAAGAAGCTAGTGGTTTCTTTCATTTCTGGAGATTTAAGATTTTTTTTTCTATTTTGTCTGTATTCACTTCACATTGGAAATGCTTCATAGAGCTTATGATAAAATATGCTTATTCCTCACCTGCTCCACTACTTGGTTGATGGAATCCTACATGGCCTGAGAAAATAGACATATTCTACTAATTTCTTAGTAAGATAATCAGCTTTTATTCCACCCTCCATTAGCAGAAAACCAAAAGAGTAACAGATCTCTCTTAGCCCTTTGATCTGTTTGCCACACCTCTCCATCTTTGAGTCTATGAGATGTGCCAGTCTTTTAAACTGATAAGGAATGTAATCCCATTTGAATACTTTCTAATGTGTTCTAGGTCAAATGGCAGAGCTATGGTTTGAACTTAAAAGAGCAAAATCGATTTGAAAACCCTTTCAAGATGGCACTCTTTTGATGAGAGTAGTCCAATTTCTTCTCAAGAGACTGTCACCATATTTATTCATCCATTTCATTTTATTCCTATAATAAAAGCTTCCAAGCTTTGGCCTCCCTGATACCTAAGTGAGCAGTGATCTTTTTCCCCTGCCCAGATTTTGAAGCATACATTTTAAATTGGTTTAATTCTGATATCAGCTTGGTGGCCCACTGCCAGAAGTCACATGGTGTAGTGGATAAAAACAGACTGAATCTCAGCTCCACCACTTTCTAATTCTGTGACCTTTAGGGAGTGTTTCTTGCCTCAGTTTTCTCATCTATATGGTGGACATAATAATACCTATTTCACAAAGTTGTTGTAATAAATTTATTAATTACCTGAAATTCATAGGACAGGACATTTGATGAATGTTGACTATTATTATTCACTTAGCAATGGGTCATGGAAGATTTACTCCTTTAATAACAAGTCAGCTATACACTGATGTAGTTAGTGACATTTTTCTACTATGTGATACTGCCTCTGGGTTTGGGTCTCCTGCTGGTGCCTGCCTTTGCATTGCACATGATCTGGGTCACCAGAATAACAGGCCTCCCAGGCAGGGAGAGGAATATGGTCAGTCAGTGTTGGATAGGATGCTTCTGGAGAGCAGGGTCATG